GCTAATGACGTGCCCCCAAACCTCCCCAGAACAGGATAGCCACCCACAGCCAATACCTTCTTAGAGTTTGAAAGTTTTCTCTCCACTCTTATTTGGGGTCTGTTTTTGTTACTGCTTTGGGAGTCTTAGAACCTTCTGATTGTATTCCTCTCTTGTCTTGTTAACAGTCCTAGCTTGATCTGCCTCCTGACACAGTCACTGAACTTGGGGCTCAGGGAAGAGGTGTTTCCCATTCCCTCAGCCCAAGGGCTGGAGCACTCAGAGCTGATGGCGGTCACCTGTGCTTGCAGCCCCCTGGTAACCCATCTTTCACAGGTTCTGCCAAACTGAATGTGGTCAAGGGGCAGAAATGGGGATGCGGAAGAAAATTAGGTGTAACTGTCCATGTTCAGAAATAAAATGTCCTTAAAACCATGCTCTGAGGCCCCTTTCCTGTCTGCAAAAGTGAATTACATTAATAGATTTCTTAAGACCTTCCCCACCCAAATCCTCCTGCCATCTGGAATTTGCATTGTAGATGGCAAAGCTGCATTTGTAACTACGAAGTAATGTGCCCTTTTGAATATAAAATAGAAACATGCATTTTAAAATATAAGGTGAAGAATAAGACACTGTATATGGTTGTGTGTGAGAGAGAGAATCCTGGTATTTAAGAAACTAGAATGTTCTGGTAATTAACTTTTGCAAAAGAGGGAAAATGCTATTTTACTATACCCCTAACCCCAAGAAAAGCACATGGCATATTCAGGAAACTACAAGGAATTTCATGAGGCTGGAGAGCTTATAGCTCTTGGGCCAAGGGCTGACCAGGCAGGGGTGTGCAGAGGAGAGGGAGGGCCAGATCTTAAAGGGGTCTTATACTCCATGCTAAGGAAGATAGACTCCTGACGGCCTTAGAAGGTGAAGGGGTGATCTGGACAGAGTGGCCCTTTAGAAAAGGCAGAGGGTGGAAGGGACGGGATTCAGGAAACCAAAAGGGCAATCTCTGCAGGACCCAGGCGGGCTGTGACGGGCCTGGAGAGAAGGGAGGGCTCCCAGGGACCCTGCAAGAAGAATCAGCTGGAATTGGCACCTGGGCAGTGAGGCCAGAGGAGAGAGTGGGACCCTTCATAGCGTGGCTCCATCCTACCCTTCCAGCCTCCTCAAACCAGACACCCCCAGCCCCCCGCAAACACCTTTTTGTTAATATTTTTGAAATCAGGAAAGTCATCAATATTTATTGTATACAATACGGAAAATACTAAAGAGTATGAACAAAATAGAAATCACCCATACCCTTACAGAGAGCCACAGTAAATATTTGGGATATCTCCATCAAATTTTTCGTTTTCTTTAATGTCTATGTTTTTGCATGTTTATTACAAAACTAGAATCATATGTATTTACAGATAAGTAACTAGCTTTTTTCCCTACTTAAATTTACCATTTAACATTTTATTGTAGGCATTTTTCAAAGTCATGACATAGTTTTTGAAAACAGGATTTTTCCCAACCGTAGTAAATATAATAGACAGTTGACAACTTTTTCATAACTGATAGGTTTGGTCCTCTCTTATTACGGTGTTTTATATTTCTTTCTTGTTTCTCTTTTTTTCTTTCTTTTTAGCCTTATAATATTTACTGCTTCCTTCTATAAGAGCCCAGAAAATACCCACCCCCATTGCCACCCACACCTGCCATTTCCTTCAGGATGCGCCCAGGACCCCGAAATCATTGATGGTTCAGAAAATGACTGCATGTGTCGAGTGGGAGTGGGAGGTGTGAAGCTGATGGTCTCTGAGTTCAGTGACAATATTTTCTAAACCTGAAATTGGGGCAGTTGTTTTGACAAATCTAAGACAACATTTGTGGTGTCCCAAAGGGACTTTTGGAACTCACTTCTGCTGTCCTGGGACGACGATTGGTCCAAACAGTGCATTTTGAGAAGTAGGAGAAGACATCCAGACATGGGTGGTGAAGGCTGGATTTCCACCCCAGCTCAGCCCGTTCCCACAGACCAGGCAGAAGTGGCACAACTCTGGGCAGATCTTCAGCCCTTTTTGGCCCCTTTTTTCCCCATCCCTCCCCTACTCCATGAACTGACCAACCCAGGCCCTTTCCCTGTCTCCCGCATCCCTTCCAGTCCAAGCTACCTGGCAGTCACACTCACATGGTGTCCCTTGGTCTCTCTTTGTAGGTCAGTGTGTCTGCTCTCAGCCACTGTTCCTTCTGGCTCAACAACTTCCTCTTTGCAAATTTCCTCTTGGCCCTGGAGAAATACCAACGGCCTCTGGTCCCTGCGGCACCCTGGGCTCTGGCCTGAGCTGACCTCAGAGACAGACAGCACAGTTGGGTCTTGTCCCCTCCCTCCTTTCCACCTCCTGGTTCCAGGGACCTGTCACAGATGACTCTCAGCGATCCCCCTTGGAGAACCGAAGAGGAGATACCGTCAACACATTAAACATGTAACAGACTCAGCAAGACCCACTCCAGGTCTCTCGGGTCTCTCGTGTGCACGTTGGAGTTGGAAGGGGAGGTTCTGTGAAGAAGGGATGTTGCGGCTGAGCTGAAGAACCAGACTTGGTCACACATGCAGCCCTTCTCTCAAGCCCATCACAGACGGAGTTAAATCTCCTACCTCCACCCCATGTGAGCAAAGATGAGAGCACATGTGTTCTCAGCAGCTCCCCAGGATGGCATCTGAGCCTCTGCAGCCCTTCCTGCCCACTCCCTCACACCATCTGTACTTGCCACCACCCTTCACAAGCATCACCAAGTCCTCGCCTTTTGCGTACAAACCGTATGCATGACTGGACCCACGCGGATGCTCAGACTTCTAAGAACTGCTCCTGCCCAGACACCCTTCTCACCTCTGTTTTTCAGAAGAAGCCTTGGGTTGCCTCAGTCTAGAGGTGGGTGAGGGGGGGGGTGGTTTGAACCATGGGCCAGCCTAGAGTCCAGGTGCTGTCACAGACCCTCAGAAGAGCACGGCGAGGTGATGCCACCTAGCCTGTGCTCCAGGCTGGCCCGGCACAGAGCACTGGGGCCCAGAGTTAAACGAGGTTTGTGGGCTGACCCAGTAGGACTGTCCTCATCTGTGGGGCCAGATGTACTTTCCGGAGTCATCCTAAGCGAGAGTTTGCGGCATTGCCTTTTCCTTCTTCTCCCCAGACTCTGGTGTCTCTGGGGAATCCTCTGAGAAATCTGAGGTCAAGGAAGTTTGGCATTCCAGAAGTCAGCAGTTGGCCTCAAGTGCAAAAACCTGGAGAAAATGTGATGGGAGAAGTAGGGGTTGATGAAGAATGTTGGCTCACGCAGTCTACGAGCACTCAGTGGGCGTCGGCACTGGGCTAGGTGCTGGGTGGGGATGCTGGCTAGAAGATCCAGGGTTAAGAAGCCAAATAAGGATTCAGGGTGAAGATACTACATGAAAACCCAAAGGATGCTGGGTGATGATGGGTTTGGAAGTAATGATAGGGAGTCTTGTTATTCTCGAGCCCTAAGGGGCCTTCATATCTCTCGCTTCTGGCCCATCAGGAACAGAGGCTTCCACAGCCCCGTCCTCTCTGCCCATCAGTGGCTCTTTCTCCCCCTTTAGGCTGGAGGCTGACTGGGCTTTTAGATCCTCCAACGGCAGGGAGTCCTGATGAGACTTCTGTGTATTCAAGAAAGTGGTGAGTGTAGACCGCTGGTCGGACCCCTCTCCCTGGGGGACCCCAGAGCCCTTGTCCCCCCTAGACACTCCATCTGTTTTTATCATGGCCTCCTCGTCAGACACTTGTGCTCGCCCAGCCCAGGCATCTCCTGCCCCGTTGCGCTTTCCACCCCTGCTTAGTGTCAGGACTCCTGTCCTCTGCTTCCTCCATCGGACACATAGCAGGAGTAGGCACAGGAGGACAATGATCACCAGTAGGGCCACCAGCAGCACACTCACCAGCAGGGTGACATTTGTCCCCGGATGTAATTTGGGTAAGGATGTACTGCTTATGGTGACTATTTTTTCCCCAGAGATAGTGGAGCGACCGGTCCCCATGGAGGGCTTCAGAAAGATAATTGCCGTGGTGACAGAGAGTCCCCTGGTCCCACTGGAGGTCTCCAGAGAGGTAGTTGCCATGGTCACAGAGGGTCCGCTGGTCCCACTGGAGGTCTCCAGAGAGCTAGTTGCCGTGGTCACAGAGGGTCCGCTGGTCCCACTGGAGGTCTCCAGAGAGGTAGTTGCCATGGTCACAGAGGGTCCGCTGGTCCCACTGGAGGTCTCCAGGGAGCTAGTTGCCATGATTGTATCAGTTACAGTGTGAGATTCTGAAGAGTCCATTACCGGGTGAGCAGGCACACTGGTTGCTTCCGAGATTTCCGGGAGCACCGATGAACTCTTGGTCATAAGCTCCTGGGAGCTTATTAACCTAGATGCAGCAAGGTCACTGCTGGCAGCAGTGGAAATCCCAAGAGTGGATAAAAACTCATTGGCTGTATCAGAAGTTGAAGGTGGGAGGGTCGGGTGTGCAGTGCTGTCTACCACCTTTGTAAGATGGGATGTCATTGAGGTTGTGGTCTCATGGATATTTGAGGTCGAAGAATCAGACAACGTGCCGGATTCAGACATCGGTGAAGTAGTTATGTTCTGTGGGCTCACGGTTTGGACCCAGACACTCCCAAAGAGGAAGAGAAGGAGGGTCATTTCCAAGACCACAGGCATGAGCAGGAGTTGGAACCTGAGTGTGGGGAAGTTGGAGAAATAGAACACATAAGGCGCTGGGGATGGGAGGAGGACTGCCCACTTCCCTGCTAACTGCTGGGTGAAATCTGCGGTTCAACGGCTTTTTCCACCCATGCTTTGAATAGTATCAGAAATAACAAAGGAACAGATACTGGCCGCTCCCCCATCAGCTCTAGCCCATAGGCCCCCTCAGGCCATGGCAGCTAGCTCTCCAGCAACAGCCACCTGCTCCCTGCCTGACCTGACCCTATTCAATCCCATTGGCTCCTCATCCTCCTTTCCTGATATCCGTCAAGGTCTTTTCAAGCCAGAGGCACATTCCCAGCTCCACTGAGGCTCCTACCCACCAAGTCACATCTCTTACCAGCTCACTTGATAACGCACAGGGCTGGGACCAGGCTGCTCCAACTCCTCCTGAAGCTGGGGCAAGACTGGCGGACAGGGCCCCAAGGGGAAAGGAAGTGGCCCTGGCTCCACCCACGCCAGCATCCTGCCCCACCCGCTGTGCTCCCACATTGCCGTACAATGAGAGCGGCATCACTTACTCTCTCAGGGTCTGTGACGGTGACAGGGGCTTTAGGTCTCAGCTGAGGCTGGTGGGGATGGTGGGTGGGGTCTGGAATGAGGATGCCTGGGTCTTGCTGGAGAAATGGGATGCCAAGGGGTGAAGCGGGGATAGAGTCAGAGCAGGGGTGATGGAAATGTGTGCTTGAGACCCAGGGGGTGCAGAGGAGGAGATGGGAGGAGTAGGTGGTTTCCTTTGCATTTGTGGTCCCCCAGCTGTTAAGCCAGGACCCAAAGCTAGCACTTTTTCTGCCCCGAGAGCTCCCAGGAAGTACTGGGGCAAGAGGAAGCCCCCAACTCTGGGTGATGGCAGCAAAAGCCTTTGCAAGCTGTGTGAAATCCCTGGTGGGCTCTTGACTTCCCCAGAAGCTGATGTGGGGTGGTTACCACAATGGCCCCCAGTTGTGGCCCGCCTGACTAAATCCAGGTGGTTATTAGGCACTGTATATGCTATGATCTTATTTTTACAGAAGACTAATGAAAATGTGGGGATCTACATGGAAGATCGTCTGGATAAGTATCTACTGAGATATTACCAAGATTTTTGGGTAGGTGTGAGCTTTGACTTTTGATATGTGTATGGTTTGGGGAGGCAGGTGCCTTTCTTTTAAAAAAAATCAAAACTGACTTTCATGTTTGAAAGTAATAATACATGTACATGATAGATGATTGAAAGAGGCCAATGTCAAGGCCTGGGATTGTACCCCACTCATAAGCTAACGAGTTAGTCTGACAAAGATGTGAGATCCCTGGGTCAGAGACACAGGAACCCACTACTCATCGCTCAGCTAACGGCAGGGGCACTGGGTCTGCTTCAGTTCCGCTTGCCCCTGAGTCCCACAGGGCTGACACAGAGGGGCTGGCCCCACAGCTGAGGAACACTGGGCTTGGGGAATTTCCCCCTTTTTGAGCCTGCTATTTGTCCTGAAGGGAGATGTTACTTCACCCCCACAGGGTTACTCAACCCTGAGAGATGGCCTGGATATAGAGCATCCAGGACCTTGTATTGTTGGCATATCAGTGAGAATGCAGGGATGCTCAGGGCCAGGCTGGATTGCCTCTCCCAGCAGGCAGGAGTGTATGAAGTGAAAAGGCTCTGTACATCTGCCACCAGATAGACAGTCGTAACAATGGCTATACATGCATATACACATGTATGTTATTATAGTATTCAATTTTATTGTATATATGTTCTCTCACTTTCCTTTTTTTTTAACTGAACAAAAAGAAGGAGCATGCACAAGATCCTGGGTTCAATCCCCAGTACCTCCATTAAATCAATAAATAAACCTCATTACCTTCCCCTG